GGGGGGGGGGGGGGGACCACCACGTGAATTTATCACCCTCAGCGGAGCAATATCCCTCCCCACCTTCCTGATATGTTGCCTCTGGCCTAGAAAAATGACATCCTACACACAGGATTTACAAAAGCACTCCGACGTTTTTGGCACTGCAGAGGCCGACGTATTTTCATCGGTCGGCCGGTTCGAGCGCGGTCGAATGATCACACGGTGAGCGTCCTGAGCTGTGGTGGAGAGAGCCGTGTGGAGAGTGATGAACAGTTGGACGGAGAGCGATCAACTGCACGGCGATGGCACTACCGTAGGACAGCGCAGGAGGCATGCTCAACAGCTGTGCGGTTTCCTCTCCTCCCTGTGAGTGTGATTTTTCGTCCTACTTGTTGCGGCGACAGTCCCCCCATTTTCCGTGGTGAGACGTGTACTACACGTGCTTCAGTGTTTGCAAGAGTACTGCACGTTTCAGTGTATTTTTTTGTACAAATACAAATATACGTGTTTTTTTCACACGAGAGACTGGTGAATCCCGTCGAGGGGAGCCCGCGGACCGGAACGCTCGTTCGCTTTTTCTTTTTGCCCGCGCTACAACGTGGTTATTGTGGGCCAGCCGGTCATGAAGAGCTATAGCGCCCGCACTCAAAAACCTCTTTCCGTTAGTCGAGAGGAGACTCGCTTCTGAGGCTCTCTATCGGGCAACCATAGCTCCCAGGTTCTAAAGCGCGGGCGATAGCTGCCGCACTCTATTCGCAGCTGTGCCTGGAAAAATACACGCACCCAAAGCGATACACGCACCTTCCGAGGACGGTGCCATCTGAGGGGGATACTACATCCAGGTATGTTCCGGAAAGCGGGGGGGTGCTCTCTCCGCCGATCAAGTTATCGCAAACGACGACCCCCGCCGGGGGGGCATCCTCTGTCTTGAGCCTGTAGCGTGCAAACAGCGAGCGTGAGGAAAGGAGGGCGGGAGGGAACGAAAACGAGCGGGAAACCCTTGTGAAAAAATGAAAACGATTGGGTGATTTGCAGGCTCGTGTTGCGAGGCAGCACCGACCCACTTCGCTCAGATAGGTGTGATTACCTCCTCGATCAAGATCATTTGTGCCCATGATGCGCGAATGTCTCTTCCGTCACAGCTGCAGATACTTCCTACAGTAGATGACGCAAGATATAACACCCCAGCGAAAAATAATCAAGCCTCGACTCCTATCACGTCGAAGAAAAATTCTTCAACACATGATCCGTTCCCGGAAGTCTCGTCGGAGACCGTTTCAACGCCGCCCTACTCGGCACCCTTGCTCTTTGTGCTGTGGAGTTTTCGAGCTTTGATAATCGGGCAATAAGAGGAGTGTGATATCTTCTGTCACCTGCCTGAAGTCTACAGCTGTGGAGATCCAACACGACCTCAACCAATTGCGGCGGCGATAATGAAGTAGAGCTGGACAGCAGCATCGCTGTCAGAGATCCGGGCCATTCGTATGTAGCAAGCAGCAGTGCCTCGCAAGTACGCGAGGCAGGCCCGGGGTGGGTCCTGGCGAGAGAGAGCTCGCAGCAAGATGGCATCCAAGCATCGCAACCATGGCACACACACCGTCCGCGGGCGGTACGACGCGACGTGCTGGATTGCAAGTTCGAGAGTGACCAGCACAAAGTGCACTAGCACGCCGCAACCCACACGCACGGCAACATGCAGTCAGGTCGGGCAAAACAGAGGATCCTGTTTTCCTTACAAAAGCCACCCCCTGCGCATACACAGGGCCTGCTGATTCCTTCACGAATAAGGGTGATTGCCACTTGCACGATTCTGGATGAAACACCGTGACTGTAGGACAGGTTCGATGCCGCGATTGTTCTCCGCTCACCTCTTCGCATCAGGTGCCATGCTACAGCTAAGGGCGGCAGGTGACGGCGGGTGGTTTGCTATCAAGTCGAAGAAGACTAACCAGAGCGAGCAACGGGGGCGCCGCGATTTCATAGTACCTTTCCATTTGGGAGATCTCGTAGATTTCATACCACCTTCTATCTGCTTCGTATGATACACGCAATTCAACGATGTTTCATTTTCTCACCAACAACTCGTGAGGTCTCCACCGGTGGCCCTATTGTATACCCGCAGGATCTCTCTTGGCAGCCCCCTCGCTTCTATCCATAAGCCCATTCGGGACCATCGATTGTGTAAGGACAATGAAGGTCAATCTCAAGAATTCGACGGCCACAGGATCGTTGCTTTGCCTGCTGGGTGCAAGCACGGCGCACGGGAGCTGCTGCGAGCGGACACAGGTGCGCTCTCAGACAACAGATCTTGCTCAAAATCCTCGTCTCCAGTAGCTCGTGGCCCGTCGGTACATTGACGAGGCTTGAGGATACCGTACGTAGCTTGCAGCTGCACTTAACGAACCCAAGGCGGGTGTTGCCGTAAACATGGACACATATGCATGCATGGACAGTTTGCTTGCTGAGATAACTGCTGTTCACGAAGCATACCCATCCCTTGCATAGTCTACACACCAGCAGCAACAGCCGTCGTCAGGCGGCATGCACGAGCAACACCCCTTATATGACCCCAGCCGTGAACTAAGATATTCATTGCGCGTGGTTAGTTTGAATCAGAAGGCGTGTGTGACAGGTTAGATCCCGTACATGCGTAGAAGCACGTACCACGTAGGAGGCCAGTTTGGTCCTATTCGGGAGCGTTTCAGATGCAGTAGGAAATTTCGAGCTACTGCGTACTGCTGTAGTTCTTGTTTCCTCTGTAGTTTGGGATTCATCTTGGCATCAACTTCCCCGGTTCGGTGTCCACCGTCTTCCCATACTCTTATATCCCACACTATCTCGGGTAGAAGCGTTTCTCTCCCATGTCTTATTCCGTTGTCCTTTCTTATTTTCCATAAATCTTTCAGAACATGGGTGATGGACCAAAAGGCGCCTACAGCAGTATTGTCAGCTTTGCTCAATGAAAGAAAACTCGAAAGAGCTTTCCATTCTGTGCCTCTGTTACCCCTTGAACCATGCCCTCGCCCCCGGAACCTGGCGCCACTTCCCCCATCAGCCGCATGTATCTCCGTGCTGTCTTCGGGTTTTTCCAGTATGCCTTCTGCATAGTGGATGAGAGATACATAATCTCCGGCCAATGCCCGTGAAATCGCCCCTCCCGGCCGAAACGAGGCAAAGAGCTTGCCGCTCCCCCACTCGCTGAGCATACGTCTTTAGCGCAGCTGACATGTACAACCGTGTCGCGACGACCTTCAAATCTCTAACGGGCTTTCCCTGCTTGACTTCCTTGCCAATAGAAGGAAACAAATAATATCCCTTCGCCATGTCCCAGCCCAACGCATGTTACTATCTCGACCAACTGTCACTCCTCGCGCTCGACATTCCGCCATGCGTTGCAGGACTACTCCTACTATAGTAGTCGGGGATAAGCAAAATCCAAAACATGGATCGTCTGATCCTACGATCTTACTCAGATCCTGTCCAAAGACGTCAATTCCATGGCATACTTCTGTATGAAATCAATCGTGAATATACATGGGAGAGGCCTCGCACTCCCGGGGAGCCTCTGAATCGAAGGCAATAAGGTCGTCTCGCCCATCGGCAGATTTCCTCGATTTCTTCCCTTTCTGATCGTGCATACCCGTCTGCCTCTTGCCTAGACAAATGGTCAGCTTCTGCATTCGCTGCAGGAGGCACCCACTGTAGCTTAAGCGTGAACTCGTGCATTCGCTGCAGGAGGCACCCACTGGAGCTTAAGCGTGAACTCGCGTTGCACTTTGGAGCCAAGATAAGTCCGAGGAAATTTCGTGCATCATAGTATCCTACTTTAGGTCCCGCCTCGCTTCATCGCATGAGAGAGGACCGTACAGCCTGCCTCATGAAACACTCGTCACCAAGTACGCGGCTGCCTGAGCCGCGTTGAGTTGCTCCTCTGAAGTGAGTGACATGGTCGATCTGAAGTTTGTGAAGAAAAAGCCATCTATCCCGGTCAACACCAGGAGGCCTCTTTGACGTAAGTAACCGGCCACAACCTCTGATAGTGAATGACAGATGAATGGAGAGATTTTCCGTCCAAAACGCAACGTCGTGAAGATGAGAATTTCCCCGTTCCACTGGAAACAAAAGTACTGCCAAGACTTCTTCGCGAACGGTACGGCGTGGAAACCCGCCTTACGATCACGCTCCATATACGCGACGCTCCTTCCCACGCACGTTGTCCTATCTTGCCGACCCCGTCCATGCGGAATGGGTGGTCCTTTAGCATCAGGTTCAGGAACCGTGCACCAAACGTCAGCCTTGGTTTTGAAGTCTCTACTCCCATCGGCAATACCTTGTAGGTCCATGAAGGAGGAGTTCTCAGTCTTGAAGAAGAAGGTCGTAGGCTTACCCAAGTATGTTCCGCCGCGCCGCGCGGAGAGGGTCTCAACGCGGTCGCATCAGCATCAGCGTTCAATGGCGCGTGAGGAGGTTAGTGGTAGCTACGGTGTATCGCCAGTCCCTCCCCAAATTAGAGAAATGTCGGGAAAATGTTTGTCAGCCATTGGCCGAGGGGCTACAGTCCCTCCAAGAAATCTGAGGTCCTTGCCAGACAAAGGGTGACTTGGCTTCACTTTGGAAAGTGTCTCTTACTGAAGCCAAGTCGGCAAGTTTTTCGAGTACGAGGCGATGTACAGTTTCACGCAATTTCACGACCTAGGGGGCACACGGGTTGGGAGATGAGTACACCAAGTCAGAGGCCCAGGAGAGGCATCACACAGAATATCACACAGCGTATGCATACCACCTCAGCCAAGCATGATAGACCAAGGGTTCTCACGTGCGTTTCACACAGCGGAGGCTAGGATGACTAAGGTGCGGTGAAATAAACTTTTGGGTGCTGTGTCCCCATGTCCCCATTTGGTGCTTCCAGTACGAAGAGGGTCGAGAGAAGGTCGGGACAAGCCAATATTTCACTCTTGAAACCGGTTTTCTCTTGTACTGATTAATAAAACAAGTCCCCTCAATGTGAGCAAATGAAAAGTAATGGCGTTTTAGAGCGAATGTCTTACCTATACTGCCATGTGAAGATGCTCATGATGAAGGACATGAAATAAACCGTGGTAAACACTGCACCAGCGCCTTGTTGTGCTTGCTCGGGACACACCACGTGGCGTGAATAGCGTACACAGCGAGCAATGAAAGTAAGCCCCACGAAAATTATCGTGGGCCCTTAGTCTCAAATTCGGACGACGAGTTCGATCAGTGTGAACAAGGACAAACGGGTGGCTCCTCGGGGGCAGCCGTAGTGCGTCCGCCGTTGTGCTTTGGGGTTGCAGACACTATAACTGTACTGTTGTTGACTCGAGGATAACGCCACGCAAGACGTGCGGCATGCACCACGCCATGTTTGTAAGGCCAAGGTAGCATGGACAAGCGAAAATCTTGTCAAGGATCGAATAACAGACGTGCACGAGAGAGACTCAGCGTAACGTGGCACAATGGTAGGAGATATTTATACGGCCGGGACCGGGCGGGCGCACAGGCAGCTAGCTGGGTCGCAGACACGGTGCATCTCGTCGTTGTCAGCATGCGGGTCGATCACACCAAACCTCTGGAGTTACAGTAGCCCCCACAGACGCTACATTGGTGCGTTGTGAAGTCTGGCGGGCCTGGCGTGTCATCGGAAAACTCAAGCAGCGGCCGCCCGCTGCTCAGGGTTTGGTGTTTTCGGTTGTGGGTGTGTATACTGTGCGCTCTTCCTCCGTCTCGGGTTCGATGAAAGAGAATACGGCTGGATAAAGGCCATTTTTCTCTGACATCGGCCAGAGGCGTGACAAGCCAGTTTTTCTCTCTTACTCTGTGGCCACCACCGTAGGCTCTTCCCCCGGAGGTGTGTTTTTATCGCATTTCACCGAAAGCGGCGAAATACATTGGTGCAAAAACCTTTTCGGCGACGTTCGGTGCTTCCAAATATTTCTCGGTGAGGTGTGTAGTCGTGAAAATAATCGGCGTTTTCTGAAATCGGTGTTTTCGGAGATCGCCTCCGGGGAAGAGCCTAGTTTCAGGCTAAGCATGGCTGTTTGTCCATTTTTTCCTACTCAATGTATGCCTTCTTGCAAAGGACGTGCGCGGCCTCTCGATCACGTGCTTAGCAGCTCGACGGAGTTGTGGCAGTTCTTGATACCGATGGCATAGTTCCGTTGATTCTAAACGTTTGTCATCGCTCGTTTATCCTGGGCGGCTATTCTCGCCAGAAGTGCAAACATCGCCACATGCGTGGCCGCGCGGGCTCTAATTAGTCAGGAAGGAGAGAAGTGCTCAGAAAGTTGGTCAGCAAAAAGAATATCACGGTGATACCGCAGAGCAAATGCGAATTGACTACCTCAATAATGATTGTACTTTCGAAGCTGTTGACGTATGCATTCTTCCAACACCGTTTTCTTCTTGTCCGGTGGGTTCAGATATGGCAGCATGTTTTACCACGCCGTACCCGATCGCGCTGATTCACTTCGCCATTCCCCCACTCGCTACGTCCCCGCCCGCTCTGTCTCCCCCTGTCCTGCCCCGATTCACTTGCAACCGCGCGGTTCGGCGAGAAAGGTGAACATGTTGGAGGCACCGCCTCATGGGCACGCCAAGCAGTCTCCGACAATTCCCGCGTCCTCCCTGCCGGACACGTTCGACTGGAGCGACGTGGATGGGGTGCGTTCACCGAGAGTTTTCTTGAGTACAGCCAGTTGCTCCCTAGCATAAAGCGCCTGCCAACGGCCCTGTGGGGTATCGGAGTGAGTCGTCACTCGATCTTCCCAGCTACTTAGGCTAGTGCCTCTAAGATTTCGAGTGTTGTCGAAGGCAGAGTGGTCGCGATGATCCCAAGGCGATGTCAGGACGCACCTCGCAATTCGTCCGAAGGGGTGGTGAAATCCTCTGTTTCTTTGCTGGGACGATGGCCTACCTGAATTTCGGTAGACCCGAGCGTGCTTTCTTCATATCTTGTGTTCCAATATCGCGCCATCCTCTACGTCTTGACACGTCACGCCCCTGTGGCTGTCTGGATGGTCGGTACGCAAGCAAACACGTGTTGACGCTTTATTGACGCTGCTCTGCTGATGGGTGCTGGGTTTCCTGGTCGGCCTGAAACCACCGCTGCTGATGACGCGGGTACAGAGGAGCTACCTGCTGCCGAGCTGGAACCAGCACATCCCCACATGTGCGTACACGGCAAAGGAGACGATAGAGCTTTGTGCCTTTTCTCCTGTGCCATGCCCCTCTGTTTCTTACAGCACAGCACTTGCGCCCATCCGTTCGGGCTGAAATAGAGTGACTTGGCACCTATTCTTTATGAGGAACTACCCTATCCGACGGTGTGTTCTTTGGTCGGGGTGCGAACGTGCCGAACTTCGCACAGCTCCAGCCCAGCGTTTTGTGAAAGGAAGCTTGCAAACACAACTACCAGTATTTTGAATCTGCGCAATGGCCCACGATAATCGTTTCCTGGTTGATGCACAGCGTAGACTCGTCGCCATATGTGACCCTCGTTTGGCGCGGATTTCCCACGTGTGCATGACGTCTTATACGGTTCCACAGAGCGCTTATCTAGGCCACAATTTTCAAATAGACAGACCCATCGAGAGAGAATAGAAAGTTGTCAGGAGGGCTGTTCAGGACAACCCACACCGTGTAGTCGGACTGTACCAAGCAGCAACGGCGCCGGTTGTACTACATACACATCCGAGAGGACGAATATCAACAGCACTGTCCCGTTTCTTGCCGATCGCCTTCCAACGTTTTACCACGTGGCGTAGGAGAGACGGTCCGCCGTCGACGTTCCCGTGTTTTTTGACGTTTTATTTTTCCAACCTGTAAGATGCGTATCCAAGACAGTGCGCCGGCGCGCTCACGTTACCGGTCGGCAAAGTGCCTACCGCGTGCTGCCGTGACCACCTCCCCCCCCCCCCCC